TTTAATCATAGAAAATACACCTCATGAAACCAGAGTCTGCTTTTAATCAAAGGGTGGGTAAGACACTTACCACAAAAGAATAATAAATCTTGAATCCAGGTTTAGCCACAAAGTAGTCATCAGACTTGAACGTTATTTTAATTTGGTTTGTTCGCGACGTTATCCGTGGAGGGACTTCCTTGTGTCCACACCATCGTCCTCTAATAACGGTACTGGTTTCAGATATGTCTTCAACTTCCACAAAATCATACCTGGTACCAATGTGTCATACATTAATTTTGATTCAAACAGACGCTGAAGTTCATACTTTCATCGAGAAATTAAAACTAACACCTGTGATTTCTCATGACCTACCTACCATCTGAAATGAAAATTATAACCTACTGACATTTTAGAAGAAAACCTAATTTTTGGATTAAGTTTCTCAAATTCAGTCTATTCTGAGAAAACCCACATATTTATTTATCCATAACTCTTCCTAAATCATCAAAAATCAAAATGCTACTTTCTGATCATCTAGCTTGTAAGATTTTCCTGGAAAAAACTAACAGCTGTAATCTATTGTTATATTTTAGGAGTTGTAGCTCTAATTATATACCCAAATATTTACTCTATCAAGTTTTTCAAACAAATTCCTACTTTGAATTAATTTACCACATCCAGAGTCTCATTAAGAAAGGAAGTGATCTGCATCCACACAGCATATAAAATCAGCACCCTCACTACAGAGAATAAACGGTAAAAGAAAATACACAACTATTTTCTCTTTTTTGGAAACTGTTTTTTGGAAGGATTGTATCATAAAATAAGACATTTATCATAATGGAAAGCACGTGACTTTGAGGAGGGACTTGTGCTAACCAATATTGGAAACACCTGGGCTGTGTGTGAATGAGCTTAGGACCGTGGGTTCACCACTGGCACTGGTTTAGAGAAACACAGAATCCCAAGTCTGAAGAAGACAGGAGAGGGAGAGACTTTTTCCACATTCCATAAAGAAGTCTGATCCTCGAGGTCCCTCCACCTCATTCCACTTTTTTTCACATAGCATGACACCTTCAGTGACAGAGCTGGCATCTTCTGGGGATCACTTAATCTATTTCCAGACACTCAGATCTTAGAACATTCTACTCGAGAGCTGAACTATCTGCCTGTCTGTTCTGGGCATCAGTGTCTCCCTCCTCCGATCTACCTCCCCCGACATGGCCGCAGATGCGGAAGCCACAATACAAATGATGAGCATTCAGGGCGAGCATTCAGGGTGACCAGGGCCAACATCCTTACATCCATTTTATATTGTCCCTGTCACAACTGCCAAACGGAATCAGCATGAGAAACATCATGTCTGAATATGAAGAAAATCCAACATGGCTTTACTGGTTTCACCCATGCACCTCAGAGCTCTTAGTGGATCAGGTAGGGTGATCTAAGGAGGAGGGGAGCATAATGAAATTGGGACTGAATTTCACTGACAGTGATCTGTGAGGTCCTGCTACATCCTTTGCCTCAGTTTTCTAATGAGCAAATAAGAAGGTTTCTACAATTTTACCAGCCGACTATCTCTTGGGTGCTGTGTAAATTAATTTCTTAATATATGGTGCTTGGAAAGCGGAAAGCACTAAGAAAGAGTCATTATTCAAGCAATAAAGTATTACAATGTAAACATCAAGGAGACGTTGGAACTGATGGTCAGAAATCAATCGCATTTCATTTTATAGACAATATGTGTGAATCATATTTACTGCACAGAGCATGAGTATACTGGAAACTTAGTAACACAAGAGGTCACTTCTATTTAAACAAAATCACAACATCAGTGTAATTTTCACTCTGGGTCTGAAGTCGGAAGAGCACCATTTTGGTTTTTAGGGAGGGTCCTGAGGCAGGTCTCTGATCCGTCGCTTTCCCTTTGAGACAGGAGGGAAGGGGGCAGGGCATAACCGTTAAAAGAATGATACAGCAGTCAGCACCCAGATGGTGGAAGAGTCAACTCCCAGTAGACCCTGAGCTTCAATATAGGCTCACTGGAATGCAACAGGATGCTAAATGGTCCTCGCACAGGTGCCAGGACAATTTCAAGGCTGACCACAGAAGGTCAAAGGATGAGTGAAGGCCCAGGTCCTGGGAATCCCAGCCCCTTCCCCAAAGTTGTTGGAATAATCCTCCCATTTGTTAGCATAGGAAGTCACCAAGCCCATAAAAACTAGCGCCTCGTGGCCACTGTCCCTTCTGAGTGAGGCGGACTGCACTCTGTCTATGTAGTGTGTAGCTACTTTTACTTTCAACTAAGCACCCAACCCCGCACCTCGTGGCCTTACTCGAGACAGCTTGCGCTCTAGAAGTATGTATCTCTCTCAATAAATATATCTTCATTCAACTGTGGCTCGCTCTTGAATTCTTTCCTGCGTGAAGCCAAGGACCCACGCTTGGCCAGGCACCTCCCAGAGACTCAACTGAGACCTTGGACATGGCCATCCTCTTGTCGCACATTTTCTTGTAACACCTTCCTCTTCCCTTTTCCTCTTCCTATACCTCTACCTCCCTCCATAAATTTTAAGCATTTGACCAAGAGTCTGGAAAAGAAACCGTTCCTAATTGCCTCTCCTACTTTCAAGGCCAGGATGCCAAAGGGCCATGACCAGATCAACAGTCTGATCACTGCATCCCTTCTGTGACATCACCTTGAACAATCTTGTGTTTCCACAATCTGTTTTGTTTTCTACAGCACAGAAAATTAGTTCTCCCTTTCAAGGTTGAAAAGACACAAGATCTGCTCAAGCTTATTCTCTCTGTAAATATTAGCTGGTTCTTCCAGCGTGTCCGTCTCCCCTTTCTGGCACACATTACCCTCAATGGTCCCGCAAAGTAACAGTCACTGCTGCAACTCATGAAAAGGAAGCAACCTAATAAAGGCTGTCAGCATAATAAACATGCGACAGAGGGCAGCCAAACTTGAGGCCCCCTCTTTTTATTATTCAGAGTAAAATCAACCTGCTGGAAGGATTTAGCTGTTCCGTAGTGGCTCATTGGCAATGCAGAACAAGCACAGGCAGCAAAAAGTACAGAAAGGGAAAAAACCCTCCCCCATCTTACACATGCTAATTAAGTGGATAAGATGCTGTGAGCAGGCAACTCAAAGAGCAACAGCCAGGGCTTCCTCTGATAAGTATGTTAAGAAGGAAGATGATCAGGCATAGCTTTTATCTTTTATTGACCCAGAAACTACAGGAAACAGGGCTTTGAGGAGCACACAGACCTTGGGAAGTTGCTCTCTCTTCCTTCTTAACGCACATTTTAAGCCTTAAAACTCTGATTCAGGTAAGGCCCTGACAGGGTCCTCGCCATCATCACTACTGTATGTCGGTTACAACAGCCTGGGTCAGGTTCTGGAGCCCAGCGGGGGATACACTCCTTAACCCCACAGCAGGCCGGCACCAGAGCCATGCGAGATGGCTGGGGGTGACCTGGTGATGCAGAAAAAAATGTGCGGCGAGAGGATGGCCGTGTCCCAGGTCTCCATTGAGGCCCTGGGAGGTGCCCCGCCAACTGTGGGTCCTTGGCTTCAAACAGGAAAGAATTCAAGAGCGAGCCACAGTTGAGTAAAGGTACGTTTATTTAGAGAGATACATACTCCATAGACAGAGTGCAGGCTGTCTTGAGAAAGGCCACGAGGTGCGGGGCTGGGTGCTCAGTTTAAAGTAAAAGCAGACACACACTCCATAGACAGAGCGCGGTCTGTCTCACTCAGAAGGGAGAGCGCCACGAGGTGTGAGGTTGTCAGCTTTTATGGGCGTGGTGACTTCCTTTGCTGACAAGTGGGAGGATTATTCCAACTACTGCAGGGAAGGAGCTGGGAGTCCCAGTAACTGGGCCGCCGCCCACTTTTGAAGCTTTTATGGTCAGCCTAGGAACTGCCATGGCACCTGTGGGGGCGCCATTTATCATGTCAATATATTACACTGAGCCTATAAGGAAGCTCAAGGTCTATTGGAAATCAAATCTCCTGCCGTCCTGGGCCTCGGGGTCTACTGGGAGTTGAATCTCCTGCCATCTTGGTGTAAACTGCCGTGTCATTCCTTGAATGGCTCTGCCCTGCCCTCCTCCCTCTGGTCTCACTGGGATACTGGATACCTGGACCGGCTCACAAAGGCTGCTCTAGGCCTGCAAGATGTGGGTGCCCAGATTCCCTCCTTCTCTGGGAGTCATGAAGCCTGGATCTGTCAGTGTCGGGAGTGAGTTTCTGTCGAGTCACGCCAGCTAACCAGGCCATCTGTAGAAGCGGGCTGCGCTGCAATTTATTTTGTCTCTTAGGACTGACATAAAAGCTTTTTAAAAAAGAACTTGCATACCTTGGGTAGGTCCAAAGGGCCCAAAAGACAAGTGATGTTTTAAATCCATCTTTTTTTCACCTTGAAATTTTACCCTAAAATGGATTTTTTTTCTCCCACTTACCTACAGATATCATTTTCCGCTTCTTCTAATCCGAACTGATTGTCAAAGGCTAGCTGTATGCGCGTTTTCTCCTGGGAGTGCAGCCGCCAGGTCAGAAGCAGGTTCCTGGGGTAGCTGTTTGGGAAGCGGGGACTCTGCACGTGGCCGTGTCCTGTCACCGGGATGGTCTCATCTCTTCGGTACAAGTCTGTGAGGTGATTGCTCTCTGTTAGTAGTCACAACTTGTTTAAATTAGTATGTTGCTCCAATTACAGGAAAGCAAAAAAAGAACAGTTTAAAACACATCGCATTGCAAAGCACTTCTTGATTTTGTTTAAAAACGGGAGGCCAAATGGCAGCCTTGTGGTTAAAGAAACAACTTACACATTTCTTCCGTTACCCCCTACCTCCCCCGAATCTTCACAAATCGAGACGTGATGCCTCATGGTTTGCACTTTGGGAGCTCTCTTAACGTTATTTTTGACAAGCAAACTTAGTTATCTCAGACCTTAGGTTTACTCAGATTGAAATTAAAATATGCAAATCATTTCAAATCCTTTGTCCTTCCTCTTTTCCATGTAATACAGCTGACCCTTGAGCAGCGTGGGTTTGAACTGTGTGGGTCCACTTTAATGCAGATTCTTAAACAAATACGTGTACATACTGTAAATGTATTTTCTCTTCCTTATGATTTTCGTAACTTTTTTTTCTAGCTTATTTTCTTGCAGAATACAGCATATAATACATATAAGATACAAAATATGTGTTAATCCACTATTGATGTTAACAGTGAGGCTTCTGGCCAACAGTAGGCTATTAGTGGTCATGTTCTGGGGGGAGTCAAAAGTGATATGCGTGGTTTTTGACTGTGTGGGGTACTGGCACCTTAAACCTCACATTGTTCAAGGGTCAGCTGTACAAATATATATATTTTTTTACATTGACAGTGTGACAGTATGTCTTCAAATGGTTAGCATAAGAGGTACTCAATAAACACTGCTGAACGAACGAACAAGTGAGTGAAAACCAAATCAAAAGATTCTAATGGTGTTTATTGACCGCTTATTTTAAATTCAGAAGACATTTTCCAGTTGTCTGTCCATCATAAAAGTCGTAATTTTTTGGCCTTAGTTTTTGGTGACTTAAAATAGTTCCAATTCTCATTCTATTTTCTGTATGTTGTATAATACAGAATTTGTCTGATCTTTGTCCTGGGTTCCTAAGAGGGAACTTTTAAACCCTGAGAATTTCCCAAGTGACTGAAGCATCTTTATTATTCACGTGGGCCCCTGGGGCCACACCTGAGTCTAGGCTAATGCAGTGATTCACTGTGGGCCCCTAAACAGCCTCTGGAGGAGGACTGGATGTAACAGAAGGACTAATCCTGTGACAGGAGGGTTAGGGCTTTGAGCCTGTTATCAGCCTGACTTCCCAACCTCCCGGACGTAAGGGGTCTTGGGCACTGAGCCCTATCCTGTTGCCAGTGACTCCATCAATTATGTCCACAGAGGGAAGCCTCAATGAAAGCTCTGGTGACTGTGGCCTGGGTCAGCTTCCTGGCTGGTGACACACACTGACCTCCTGAGGACATGGAAGCTTCACGCTCGGGACGTGCCCAGGCCTCGCCCTATGTGTCTTGTTATTTGGCTGGTCTTGATTTGCACCCTTTCTAGGAAAAGTAATTGTGCTTGCTTTAGCTCTACAAGTTGTCCTAGCAAATGACCAAGCCCGAGGGACTCACGGGGAACCCTGAGCTCACAGCCAGTCGGTAAGGTGCCCCGCAGTCGTCAGCTGGTGACTGAAGTGCAGTCTTGCAGGGACCGGGCCCTTAACCTGCGAAATCTGACCTAAGTCCCGGTAGCTCGTAACAGAATGATACTGCATAGTGGACCCATTTTTTTGTCTCCCAATGTCCAGAGTTTTTTGCATTTTAGATTTCGCCTTTTTAGGCCCCTCCAGAAGCAGAACTCCAGCCACAATCTATTTGCATCCTATGGCAGAGAGTTCACTCCGAGGCCTGTAATTCAGTGAGCCTGGTCAGGGAGGTTTAAATTGCTGGTGGGAACCACTGAAAGGCTGGGCTGCGGAGGGTGGCTGTTAAAGCTTCCAAAATAAGAAATGGAGAGTGAATAAGGAGCCAGCCTGGGCAACGCGAAGGCTTCGCTCTCTTTTATACGTGTTCTTGCACACGTGGGAGTTTCAACTTTTTTTTTAAACTCATTTCAGTATTTAATGTGTTGCACTTGCCCTGTTAGACTTTTGAGGGAGCCAGTCTGGGAAGAGCCGAGGTAGCCGGAGGAGCTGACGCCCCCACGCCCTGCCTCGGGACTGGGAGACCAGAGCACGGGGTCTGGAGCCGCATCACTGGGCTCTGGCCCCGGAGCTGACGCCCTTAACCACCGTGTAACCGAAGAGAGTTTTCTGTCTTAGTCTGAAATTTGCTAGAGGCATTTTTGGACTCTTTGCTATCTGTAATTCACTTCGAATTTTGAGTCACATTGTTTACATATAATTTATAACTTCATGCCAAACGGAGGGCCATTCTTAGCAGAAGAGTTGTAACGAATTATAGATACAGAGAGCCACCCATCAGGTGTAACCCGAGGTCACTACCAAGTGTTATATACAAAGTCACGTTCCTGAATGAAAGCCTTGACTTTGGTGTTCCAATAATAACTACCACCTTCGGAGCAATAATTATGTGCCGGGCACTCCAATGAGTTGTGTAAATTCGCGATTTCATTTAATCCTCACAACGACCCTAGGCAATTAGTAATATCTTCAACTTCACAAAGGAGGCTGACAGAGTTTAAAAAAACTGATGACCTCAGCGCAAAGCTAGTGATGGAATCAATGTCTGCCCCTAGGCTGTCTTCAGAGCACACACCCTTAACCAGAGCTCTATGCTGTTGTTAAAACTATAAAAGCATGAAATATATCACTTTTTATAGAGAGGGAATAATTTTCATTCATGTTTATATGACAAGAATGTCAGTTCTTCTGCTACATTTTAGTAAGCAGGAGGTTCACGGTGGGTAGAGCTCAGTGGTAGAGTGCATGCCTAGCATAGACAAGGTCCCGGGTTCAATCCCCAGCACCTCCAATCAATCAATCAATCAATCAATCAATGAACCTAATGACCCCCCCCCAAAAAAGAAGGAGGCTCACATCCTCACAACTCTGTATTATGTATTTGACTTTTTTAAGAAAGCCAATCGAAAATGAAAAAAAAAAAAAAGAAAAGCCAAAATGTTTTGTCTATTCTGTCCCCAACCCTTTAAGGAAACTCATCTCATCCAACCAAGTATCCCAGGAGCTCATCAAGGTTCTGCAGGCACCATCACTCACCCTGGGATATACCCAGAACAACCTTTGTTCTCAAGGTGTGGTCCCTAGACCAGCATCATCACCTGGGAGCTTGACAGAAATGCGGATTATCAGCCTTCACCCCAGACCTACTGAAGCAGGAAAGCTGGGGGTGGAGTGAAGTACTATTTGGTTTTTTTTTTTTGTTTGTTTGTTTGCTTTTTAATTGAATTATAGTTTACAATGTTGTGTCAATTTCTGGGGTAGAGCACAATTTTTCAGTCATATATGAATATACGTATATTCATTTTTACATTCTTTTTCACTGCAGCACTATTTGTTTTAATAAGCTTTCCACGTGATTCGGATGCTCCCTTAAGTTTGAGAACTACTGACCATCTATACTTTCTACTCTTTTACTTCTTATTCTCGACTTCCCTGGCTCCTTCGCCACCTCGTTTTAACTCATAGCTCTCATCTGATTTTTCATCTTACCTCCCTGACTGATGGCCTGTCTTGGACTCGCTTCCCTGTCTCTGACCTCGAAACCTTCTCTAGAACATCATTTTTGGAAGACAGTGACCTAGAGTAAGAGCTACCATCACAAATTCTAGTGTTTAAGGAGAAACGAAATTACAAATAATGGCAATATTTTATTTCTTCTTCCCAGATTGTAATATTATCTATGACGACATAAGATGCAAAGGGTAAATGCTGAGTTATTGCAGTAAGCATTAAAATACTTCATCAACTATTACACAGAAACATATCTCTGCAGATGGTGCCACTGCACACAAATTCAGCGAGCAGCACAGACATACTCATTTGCCCCATTGTCTCCGTAAGACATGCAGGAGGCAGCAGCGTGATTGAGGGTCACAAGCCCCATGTTACGCAGCTACAAGCCAAAAGCAAGGAATGCTCATTGAGTCAGGAAATTCCCAACTTGCCAAGGGATTTATTATAAAATTTCATTTGTAAAAGGGCTGTTCCATGATCACGTGACAGATCACAGGAGCAATGTTAGCCCAGAATGTAGTCCAACGCTATACAGACTTAACAGTCCAACTTCTGCTGTTAAACCACCCAGATACAACCGCCTACTTTTTGTAGGGTGCAACATAGTCCACAAGCATCCACTTTTGTGAGTTCATCGTAAATATAAGCTGACAAAAAGTAAATATCATTGCAGTCAATACCACTGCTTTCATTCTGCCTCTTCTTTTAAATTTAATTTTGTTTTGTTACTTTATAACAGGTAATGAAATCGACACAGAGATGTTAAAGTGACTTGTAAGTGAAAAGAATGGAGGGCTGGTATACGGAAGAGCAGAGTCAAGTTCAGCTCCATCATATTCTAGCCCTGGTAACTTGTCCCACTGCAACCAGCAGTAGCTTTGGACACACCATATCATCTTTCTGGCTTCAGTTTCCTAAACATTAGTTTAGGGGGCTGGATAATGTGGCATTTAAGAGTCCTTTGAGGTCCAAATAACATGACAGCTCAACAATTTTCTTCCAAGAAGACAGAACTGCAGGTTGTTTGACTGTGACCAGCAGACGCGAGTGAGGCAGTGATGTAACAATGGAATCTGAAATCCAAAACCTTCAACGGGATAAATAGACACTTTTTCCATCTAACTATGATTATATATATAGTTGCATGTTGTCATCTAAAATCAGAGTACCAATGGATACTTCGACAAGTTGTTCAAACATATTATTTACGAAAATCTTTATTTCTCATCAGCTAGAGAAGTGTCCTGGGCACAGAACTGGCCACTTAGTCTATCAGATTTCTGCAGAACACGTTAAGGAGGAAAAATAAATAAATCTGTTAATGTAGAAACATTTTTTCTTTTTTAAACTCTTGCTTAGGTACAAGGATTAAAACTTAGATACTAAAAGGTGCTTTATAAT